CACTTTTACTTGCTTAACAGACTTTAAAAAATATTTAATAATAACACATATATATTAAAGACCATATATATGTTAAAAACATTTGATAATTTGAAATAGAAACATATCAAATTAATTTGCAATTAGTTCAAATAATTCTACTACACATATAACTTGAGAGTTGAAAACATTTTGATACTGTTGTTTATAATTTTGAATGCATAATCAATCAAATGATTTATAAAAGTGTATTCTTTTCAAAAACAACGGTTTATTAATATGTTAATTAAATAGGACGCACATTATTTTGTGTTGCGTGGGTTCACAGTATAAATATGAAGGAAGGCCTTAAAATCTATTTCTTTTATTCTTTTATTTATTTAAATTTATTCTTCCTGTAAAAATAAAAATTGATAAAATAGTTCTCCTAAAAAATTTCTCTCCCCTCCCCTGAAAATACTTAAAAAATTTACATCAAACTGTTATCTATTAAAATTAAATGTTTGTAAAATTTAATTCGAGCTCTTTACATTTTAAACCGATTCTAATAACATTTTTTCGATTTCAACTGATTCACTTTTTCTGGTATTAAATTTTCACTCAATTCAATTGATTCAATTTTATAACATAGTATTGTTCATTAAATTTAAATTTGTATGTATACTTTTTTATTTTATACTATATATTTCAACTTCATAATAATTTATAATTCACAGAAATACATTACACGCTCTAAAACTAAATTGACATACAGCAAGTGACATATATTTTATTTATGTATTTTCATTTTTATTGCATTCAACAATTTAAAAATCTGTAATTCTGTAATCATTCTTTGGTATTTACGAAAATAATTCTCAATTTTAAGGTAAAATTTTATTTTTAATTTTGATTTGTAAATAATACAAAAGTAGTTGAAAATATAAAAAAAAATGAACCGATGAATAAATAATGAGGATGATTACAATAATATTTTCAATGTTCTAATAATATTCCTAATATATATATATATATATATATATATATATATATTCTAATAAATTATATATTACTTGGTTAAATGACTAAAAAATTGGATTTAGGGAATTTCGATACATTAACTATAATTCACATTTATTTCAATGATCTCCTGTGTAAATATTATATATTCTATTTATAAAATGAATAGTTTTAAATTTCAACTTAATAAAAGACTTGCATATATAAATATATGTAAATATAACTATAAACACATTTTATTATTATTTTATTATAATATTATTATTATATAAAAATAAAATTAAACATTTAATATTAAGAATATTAAAATAATGCAATCATCACATAAATAACTAAATCAAAAAAATCCATTGAAATGTTGTTAGGTTAACATGTTATTGATTATATTTGAATTTAAACTTGAATCACAATGGATATTTCCAATAATAATTCAAATAAAAAAGTATACTGTTTAATTATTTTCAGCAAATTCCGACTATTCTCAAACATTATTTTTGGTTTGTATAATATATTGTAAAGTACATTTCAGGATTAAGGTAAAATAGCTCATTTGTGCTTAGTGGTCAGAAAATGATGGAAAGAATGTAGTCGGTCATAAAATCTCAACAAAACTATATTTTTGACCTTAAATTTTCAATATGAAGAGACTTTTAAGACCTGTATACTTATGACTTTTTTTTGTAATCACAAATGGGCACCAACCATTTATCTATTCATTTTTTTATTGAAAAATTTCAAATATTTATAAGATTTAAATTAAAATTTTCAATATTTTATGAATTAAATTCTTGAAATAATTCTATAAACCGTAAAATTATGTTTTCCATTTCAAGTGCATATCATATTAGGGATAACGTAACGCGTGAAAAAAATAGAAAATATAACATTATGAAATATCTGTATTAAATTATTAATGAACCGACCTAAAACACAATGTGAGTAATCTTGTTAGTTGTAATTCATACTTCGTACCCATATAAACACCTGTGGAACTAAATTGTTATTTTCATCGAAACTCGCTTCCTCAATTTGTTTCGTCGCCACTAAAACGGTGTACCTTTCACTTTTTCTAAGAGTTTTTTTTTTCATTTCATTTCAACATTACTATTACAGTTTAAAACCCAAAAAAACCTTGCGCATACGATGTTTTTTTTTTTATTAACAAAAACAAATTGTTCTCATCCAAATGGCTACACAAAGAAAAATCGTCCATCAACGAGCCCTTACCTTACCTTGCTCAGAATCGGCTAACGGTTGCGATACGTGCGTGCGTGGTTGCGTGCGTGCGTGCGTGCGTGTGTGTGTGTGTGTGTGTGTGTGTGTGTGTGTGTGTGTGTGTGTGTAAACTTGGTAAACTTGATGAGAGTTGAACAATATTTTATGCGTTCGCGGAGTGTGAACTTTTCACGTGCGACGTGAACGTGTGTCGCGGTAGACGGTCGACGGTGAACTGAATGTCCCGAACGTTACCGACGACTTGAACGACGTCACCGCGCAAGAAGGGAGGCACAAGGGGTATCGGCGATAGTGCTCGTTCCCGCCCCGCTACCCCTTTCGTTCTCGGCGAAAAACGCACGAAAATTAGCTCTTCCAAATGGAAACGAAAACGGGGAGGGGTCGAAAGGGGAGAAACAGCAACGACCGCACGCGTACACAACGCTACTTGTTAGTAAAGCTCACCTGACTTCATTTAGCACTTTACGTATTACACGTACCTGTGTGCATGCTCCGGCGAATCGATAGTCCTCGGTTGGCCGGTGGCGGTGGTGAAAGAAAAACCTAGAGAGTACACAGGTAAAGTGTCGACGAAGGACATCCGGATGGGAAACAAAAACAAAAACAAAAAAAAAAAACGTAAGCACACATCGTACCCGAGGACACGTCACGCGTTTCCGGACACGGCGAGGATTCGTCGCGACTGGAAGAAACTTGTGCCCTTCTGGAAAGTTTACCGGAACGCCGTGTATGTGTATCTATCCCGTGGCGTAGGACGACCAAATGATTTATCGCTAGCGACGGTATATTACGTATTATAGGCTTATCGTGTGCACCATACGTATTTCTGGTCTTATTTTTTGGGTTGACATTTTTGCTCGATAAATCGACGACATATGGGTTTCCCAGCCATTCGTCCGTAAATTATCTGCACATACTACACGTACATTGTAATATTATTTATTGTTCAATTACCGTTAAATTTAAATATGTAATTCAAACTGCAAATTTATATGCCCATGTAGGTAGTCGTGGGGTTCTACACAGTGAATACATTATTATCAATTAAAAAGGTTATGATTTTGAACAAGAAACGGTATATTTTTACAAATTCACGAAACGTTTATAGACAACTCATAATTTGCGAATAAAATCTAATTAACTAGATATTCTCGCTATTCTCACGTGTCATTATATTATTATTACACATTACATGAAACAGACTACAAACAAAACAGAATACACTGCATTATTCTGCAATAATCTGCATTATTTTTTTTTCTTAAGCCATTTGGTCATTTATTTTTAGTGCTTCCCAATATTCCGCTAATACTTTGATTGTATTTTAAATAAAATCTTTTATATGCATTATAATTGTCGTCACAAATAATTTCACGACGGAATGTCGTCATTATGAAATATTTTATATAATCTTCAATAGGTTTTTGGTATCAAAACTCATGCCATTTAATCGTAAAATATTAAATATTCTAGATCTTAAAAAATTGGAATTTTATTTCGTAAGCGAAATTTTTCTAAATCCATCCAAATATCGTTCATAAATTATAAAATAATATTATTCGTTAATATATTCCAATATGTCATGTATATCGAACTGAAGTATGATATATATAATTTTAAGTATTAGACAACAAAATAAAAATAGAGAATTTGAATATTTTAAAAATACTATTATACAGCTTGAAAATATTTTCCATTCATCTCCTTTTGGAAATACTCAATTTTTTAAATAAGTCATCTCATTTGTAAATAAAAACCAATAATACAAATCATTTTTCATTTATTAAAATGTTCATTCTCTTCTCTTATTAATTTTTTTCATGTTATTTTCTTTTTTTTTTTTTTTAAACAATAATCGTTTCATGTAATTATACTAAATTACCTCAATAATAAAATATAGGAATACGCACACGAAATTCGAATTTCATACCCTCATATCATAATAGTATCAGATTCGTCGATAAATTACTATTTTTGAAATGTATTCTCCAAAATTCGTACAATGCTCGTGTATAATATGTGTTTTGTGATATTCCCACACACGCGCGCGCGCGCGCGCGCGATCACACCAATATAGTGATATACGCATTATAGGTTTTCATATAAAATAGCAATATCTGTTGTTTGTGCAGATACGACGCGGAATATTTCCGATAAAGGTTTGATGCGCGTGCCAACATGTGTGTAATCTCCATTCCCTTCCATTACAAGGTATTTAGTCGTCGGGCACAGAGCGCGATAAACCGTAACCAATATTATTATAATTGGTGACAAATAACCGAAATGCACAGTATTATAACGTTCCGCAGTAATATGAGTCCCGTCGGATTTGGAAACGTCTATGCGCAGTGTACGGATGAGGTATACATCAAAGCTAATAGTATTGATTATACGATTTCATTGTATCATTTCCGACACAACCAAGAAAAATTATTGAAAAACGCCACTGTCGTGTTTTGTCACAAATATAGGACGTGATACATATTATTGTACCTGTCGTAGCGTTACTCGGTCCGCGGACATTGTTCAGCAAATAGCAACGCTCACGCTCATTCATCAGAAATCTTTAGATTGACTAAAAATTTTTTTAAAAAAACAATATTGGCTCAAGTCTTGCGTGTACACGTCACTTGTCCATCACAAGCGATTTTAAATTAGATAATATCGACAAAATAGGCGGAAAATGTGTATATTTGTGTATTATAAATTATTATAATGTATACAAGTATATATTGTCGCGAGATTATTCCGTGTCCGAAGTCATGCAGTATAATGTACAATTTAATATTAAAACTTGTACGTTTTTAATCCTGGTGGTCATTAAATTTTTTGTTGTATTATATTATTGTAAGAATAATAATAATAATAGTTCCATCACGATTCTTACACCGAAATGTTCGTAGTATTTAGTATAATAACCAAATTAATAATACATTAATCAGTCTAGGATTGGTATAAATTTGTTTTGGTTGACTTGATTATGATTAAAATATTATCACCAGAAAAAAATATTGATTTTTAAAAATAACAAATTACAAATATACCATTAAAAAAGTTATATTTTACTTAAAATGTTTTAAATACCAAAAAAACATCATTAAATTAAAACATTATTATTATTTTGCAGTTTGCTCAATACAATGTTATAATTTAGATTGTATTTCCGCAAATAAACCTTGTTTCAAATCCATTTAATGTAATTATATGTATATACATAAGACTATTAATTTTTTATTAAGATTAAAATGTAAGCAACAACATAGTTAAATTTATTAATTCAAATAATACATTTATTTCTAAAAGAATCTGTATGTATTGTAATTCATCAAAAGAAAAATAAATTTGCCATTTTCACATTTTATTATTCTTTGTGTGTATAATTTATCCACCAGTTTATTTAAATATTCATTCATTATCTTTTAAGTAATATATACATTTCATGTTAATTTGCTGAAACACTTAATTATCAATTTAAGTTAATATGTATTTCACTCTTATTTCAACATTTATCTTAAATACTGTTTATATAATAGATATCTCGCCACTTTAAAAAGTTCTCCGTGCGTAACTACGATGAACCATAAAGAAACATGTTTTAAATATATACAAATATATTCATTTTGAACACGTTATATTTTATGAGGCTATAACATTTTACTAAAAATAATATTCGAAATAAAGTTTTCAGTTCAACCATGTATACATCACGGAAAATTTGTTATACCTCATGTATCATAAATCTTACTTAAAATATTTTTATTTTCCGCTGGAGGGATTTAATTTAATTTATTTCTCTTTTTGTTTTTCGTATTTTCAACTGAATTAAAAATCAAATTCGAAATATTTACGAATAAACTAAATTAAATTGTTCTTTTACTGATCAATAATTTATTTTATTTTACTTATATAACACGAATGCCATTAATATTCATTACAATTTTTCTCTGCAGAAACTCCTATAATTCAATATATGTTGATCATGAAAAATTAACACTGAACATTTGAAACAGTATCATTTAGTTCTTATTTTATCTTCGCCTTCTTTAACAACTAAGAAGGATATATCAATAAATAAACTCGATGCTATGATAAAAGTTTGAAGAAATTCTTGTTAATGAGGTATTTTTAATGATTGAAATTACTTGATACCTTAAACGATTGACACGTGTATTAATTTTTATATCACTTTATTATGTTTTATGTAATAACTAGGGCATTACAAAATAAGTAAACAAAACTCGTTGAATTGATGATAAAATTGCATTCACGGTCAAGGTCGTCCATTTTTTTATTGTTCCTAAACTACTTCAATAAATATTATAAAATTAAATCTCTAATCTCACTAAAATTTTATCCACAATCAGAAGTGTCCGCTATTTAGAGGGAGACATTTAATATTTATTAAATTAGAATTCTAAATTAAATTAAAATATAAATAATAATCATTTTTTTTTTAATTCATTAAAATATATATATATATACATCTATAATAAAAATTAACATTTATGAAAATATAAGTTCTTATTAGCATCATAAACACAACTAAATACGAGTACTTAAACAACAACGCTTTAATCACAAAATTTCGTCGACGTGATAATATTTCAATGAGATAAAGATATACCATAATGTATAATAATGTAGGTAATAAAATATAGCTTCATAGAATGGAATTCCAGTTATTCTGAATTTAAAATAAAAATTATCAATTTCAAAATTTAAAATTATTATATTATATAAGTGTCCGTTATTTAGAATTTCCTGTATTGAAAGATATTCCTACAAAAATGTAGTGAAAATATTCTTATTCCCAAAAAAACGTTAATTATTTGGAGATTTCCACTATTCAATGGTGTTCGTTAATAAAGGTTTCACTTTATTAAGATTATTAACAAACATAATTTTTTAATCATTTGATACTGATTGGAACACTTTAAAATCCCTATTGAAGATAAAAAAAAATTATCGTCATCGAAACCAAACACGATTATTACATTATTATATGGATATTAGAATACTTGAATAGTTGAATATGGTATCATAGCATTTAAAATTAATCTAAACCGGTGTAGTAGCTTAAAAAATTATGCTCTCAAATATATTGCATATGTCAGTCTGTAACATAATAATAAGTCGTTAGTCCTCATAAAAATTCAAACAAATTTTAATTATATTTACAAATAATTAAGTTTTTTTTTTT